GGCGTTGAAGACACCAAGATTAAGAAGAAGAGACAAACGGTGACACCTCAGAAACGCGGGCTGCAGCCACCGAGAGCATTCGCAAGGGCGGGGGTGTATACTGCACCGAGTACTACAACAGAAAGTGCACTGGAAGAATGTACCGGCCTCAGAAAAGGTCAAGGGACATTTTCTCATTAGGAATAGCTACAAGTCCAGCTTCAAATTACGCACGTAGCAATTTTTCATCAAAAAGGAAAAAAAGGCAGTTTATATATTAGTTCCCTGTAGCTGCTGTAACAAATTACCAAAAACGAGTGACTTAAACAACAGAAACGTGCTCGCTCACAGCTCGAGAGGATGGAAGCCCAAGCTCGAAGCATCAGCAGGGCCACGCTCTCTCCGAAGGCTCCTGGGAGGACCCCTTCCATGCGTCTTCTAGTGCCTGGTGGTGGCCGGCGTTCCTCAGCCTGTAGACATGTCACTCCCACCCCGGTCTTCACGTGGCTTTGTCTCCCGTCTGCGTCCAGACTTCCCTCTTTTTATAGGGACAAGAGTCACAGTGGATTTAGGATCCACCCTAACCCAGTATAACTTTGTTTCAGCTTGATTACATCTTCAGGACCCTATTTCCAAATCAGGTCACATTCACAGGTCCCAGTGGACCTTAACTTGAGGGGTAGGAGGGACACCGTTCAACCCAGCACAATCTGTAACTGTTTAGAAGGGAGTGTCTGTTTTAAATTGCCGCCTGAAGTTTTCACATGCAGGTAACCTTGAGTCCATTTTTGGTCAGCTGGTTGTTTATCTGAGAACGTTTCTCATACACAGAAATACTCCCGGGATAAAGAGCAACTCGACCAATTTAAAGTCAACTCACTCTCAGAAAGAATCTACACTCTGAAAACAGGGTCTAAGAAGAGAGGCGACCTCTCGGTCTGATACTCGTTTGCGTCGCATGGTGCCCAACCATCCCCTTCAGCCTGGGACTTCAGCTGCAGTACCCAAAGTCCTGAGTCCTGGGAACCCGTCACTACCGGGCCCACTGGGACAGCTGGTCACCCCACTCAGCCTATGTGAAGGCAACACAGCCTCGAGGACATCAAGACATTACCAGAATGTAAGCGGCACCATGGAATACCCACCCCACGCACCTGCTCTTGAAGCGTGCTTCTATTCAATTAAAAAATTAAAAGCTGGATTGGAATCTTGGATGAGTATCAACACACGGTCAGCCCTCAATAAATACATACTAACTGGATGAGTGAATGTCTGCGATAAAACATAGTATGACATGCAGTGTGACTGAAGAAAAACCAGAGGTCTGGAGTTCTGTCCCTGCAGGTGACACTCACCCCGTCTCAGGCCCAGAATGTTACCTTCCGGAGGTTCTTTTCCTTGCGATCTTTTTAAAAATATTTTTTTTCATTTTTAAAGCACTTTTTGAGATATGGCTCACATATGAAAGCTTTACACACTTCATGTGTCGATGATTTGGGGGCCTAGTCTCCGCCTGTGAAAGCATCCCCACCATCAAGGCCATAAACATATCCACCACCTCCCAAAGCTTCCTCCCACCTTGTCTGCTATTATTATTAGTGTTAAGGCTACTTAGCGTAAGATCTACCCCCTTAGAAAAATGGAAGTACGCGGTAGTGTGCCATTAGCTCTAGCTGAAACTCTCCTCCATACAGGTGCCCTCGGGAGGAGGAAATGCCGTCAGCTGTAAACTGCGGTCTGAGGGTGCAGTGAGCCCGGAGTCCACCGCCCTGCGGGGACCCAAGGGAACAGCAGAAGCCAATGGGGGCAGAGGGCCTGAGGCTCGGAACGTTCAGACAAAGCCTCTAGTACGGAGTCTAATATCCAAAGCACATGGAGGGGTTTGTCGGTCCCTTGCGTGGAAGAAAATGAACAGGACTTTTATCTCAGCTCCTGGCGCTGGTACTCATTCACCTTGGGGTAAGCAAGTCACTTAATATCCCTGGACATCGGTTTCCTCAGCTGGAAAATGAGAAGCATAATCTGTACCTCCCGGAGTCATACGGCTCATCTGAAGTATGTTAAGTCCTGCGCATCTCGAAAGCACAGTTTAAATATAATGTGTTATTCTGAGAACAGCCTAGAGGAAACTTTATTTACTCTGCAGCCTGCCTGCAGCCCAGCCAGGATGGGTGACCAGCTCCATGACTTAAGAAATTCAATTTCACTGCTCCCAACCTGCATTACAGCCCTGAAACTGCAGATTCCTTCTCTAGCTGCAAATAGTCCTCCTGATGCCTGCATCATGTTTGAGACTTTATTCACCTGTGGTTTCGTATTAAAAAAGAAATATTCTGTATACGTTTATCATAAAAATTTCAGGTAGGAGAGAATATAGATAAATATTAACCCCCAAAAGAAATATTTTCCAGTTCTCACCCCTTACCCACCCCCAAATTATCTTATAATTCTTAATAACCAGATGTTTACTGCTAAACTAAAATTTCTTATAAAACTCTAAAAATGTAGTCTAAAACTCTAAAAAAAAATTTGCTCCAGAAAACTCTAAAAATAACTCTAACAATGTTAAAGTAATATGCAGAATTCCTTAGCTGAAGGGACTGCGGAAAGGCCTCCTCTACCTGCCCTCATGTTCGAGAGGCTGGAGTTTGGACACAAAATCACACACAGTCTTGCCCAAACCCTGTGGGGTTTGCTGCCTTTTCTGCAAGTCATGGCAGCGTGAGATGGAGCCACAGTCCTGCAGATGACAGGGTTCATGGGACCAATAACAGGATGAGCTGGTGACTCATTATTCTCCGAGGGGCAGAGCTGGGGCAGCCGGTGCGTCTTCCCTGGACCCTAAACACAACTGTGTGTTTATGTTGAAACTGGGCAGAAACCAACGTTGGACTCCTAAACATGAGAGGTCATCACTCCCAAGAAGGAAAAGCCTGGATGAGAGACTTGAGACCTTGCACAAATACTCCAGCCCAGCCTCCAGAAGGAAACGGTAGTGTCCCCAGATGCAGTGGACAAGGGGTCCTGAGTCACCACTCTCCCTGCAGGAACCCTATACTGACCACAAGGGACGGCTTCCAAGCCCCACTTTTCACTGTGTCTGGCCTTCCTTTCTTCCTTCCCTTTCTTCCCCTCTCTCTCTTCCTCCCTCCCTCCCTTCCTTCCTTCCTTATGCAAACCAGTGGAGCCCCTCCTTCAAATGAAATCTCACGTGGGAGTCCCTATGACTTCTTGCCTCCCAACCCTCCTATCTGGTATTAGAGAGAAAAGCTACAGGCATGCTTGTGCTAAAGCCCGTGATATCAAACCTAGATTCAACACCTAACCTATCCCAGTGATTTAAAAAAAAAAAAAAGAAAAAGAAAAGAACCCAACAGAGTGGATTTGAAGACCACCAGAAATGTGACCATCATCAGTCACTCTGGAATTTTCAGGTCAGCGCCAGAGAAGTAACCTGTCGCGTGGGCCCCCCTTTTTACTGTCCACACCCCGCCACCCCCAGGAAGAACAGGCTACCTGTGTGATAAAACCCTTGCGTTCCCTTCTCCCCCAAAAAGGAGGCATCCCAGCCTAAGAACAATCCTTTCTTTTCTTTGTGGGTAGCTCCCTGGCCCCACCCTTCTTCCTATAAACCTTCCATTTTCGACCCCTGGGAGCGCCCTTCTGGTGGCTGGAGGGGAGGCTGCCTGATTCATGAATCGCCTATTAAAGCCAATCAGATCTTCAGATTTACTCGGTTGGATTTCGCTTTTTATACAGCAGAAAACTTGTCAGCCTAAGTCACTGACTTGAAGCTACGTTCTGACAGTTGAGCAATATTTGTATGGAAAAGAGCTGTTTGCCTTGGAAACTTTTCCGTCTGCAGGATCAGGAGCACCTGAAATCTCCTCCAAGGGCCCACAAGACATGAAGGACCAAACGTCGCTGAGGTGGGACAGATGGAAAGAAGAGCAGAAAAGGGAACATGGGGAGGAGACATGCAGGGCAGGGGCCATCGGGGGCCCCTCGGGCTTGGCAGCAAGACGCCTTGGAGGAGCCGTGTTTCCACTTTCCTCTCCTGGCCTCGCGTGCCGGTGGTCAGTCAGATTTCCTTCCCAGCAATGCAGGAAACCTACGTGCCTTTGCAGCGTTAGGTCATAACAGAAGAGTTACAGGTGAAAACTGAGAAGCCCGGTGGCTCTGGGTGACACCCGGGAGACACAGTTTTCAAACAGCTAATGGGGTGTCCGATCCCAAATCCCCACATAGCTTCCCCACCCCAGAGGCCAGGGAACGGTGAGAATCAGGGATTCCCTTTGGGATCAAGTCCTCTGCGAACTACTCTTGAGGACTCCAAGGAAGAGAGGGAGATGAGGCCAGACGGCTGGGAGCACAGCTGTGAGGGGCTCTCGTGAGACCCAGAACCGCAGGAGCACTTTGTCAGGAGTCCTCTCCCAAACAGGACGAGGCTGTGCAGAGGGCACCACCATGAAGTTCTCGGAGGAACAGAGTGCCCCTTTGGCCTGAGGCCAGTGCCCTGAAAACAGCTCCGTGGGCGCTGAACTCCGGGAACTTGGAGTCAAAGAAATGACTGCTCCTGAGTTTGAGAATGTTGCCTGGGGCCAGGACTGTCATCTCAGAATAAAAGCTTCAAAAGAATCTTTCAAAATTTACCCTTCTTGTTTCTGCATGTTCTTGTCTTGAAAAAGAAGGAAAACAAAAAACAAACCAATTTTAAAATGGGCAAAAGTCCTAAATAGACATTTCTCCGAAGAAAGTATACTAATGGCCAAGAAGCAGCTGAAAAGATGCCGAACGTCACGTCAGGGGGAATTGCAGATCAAACTACAGGGCTGCCAGCTCACACATTAGGATGGCTGCTATCAAAGAAAAACGGAGAAGGGCAGATGGTGAGGGTGCGGTGGGATCGGAAGCCTTGTGCACTGACAGTGGGAATGTAAAATGGTGCTGCCACTGCGGAAACAAGTTTGGTGTTTCCAAAAAAAATCCACATAGAATTACTCTGTGATCCAGCAATCCCCCATCTGGGAGTATCCCCAGAAGAACTGAAAGCAGGGTCTCCAAGCGATATTTATGCACCCCTATTAAAGTGTTATTCACAACAGCCAGAAGGTATAAACAACCCAGTGCCCACTGACAATGACTAGCTTAAAAAATGTGGTATATTTGTACACAAGATCTTGTGGTAGCTCACAGAGAAAAAAATGTGACAATGAATACATGTATGTTCATGTATGACTGAAAAATTGTGCTCTACACTGGAATTTGACACAACATTGTAAAATGATTATAAACCAATTAAACAATGTTCAAAATAAAAAAAGTGGTATATTTGATACAATGGAATATTATTCAGCCTTCAAAGGGAAGGAAATCCAATCGCATGCTACAACATGGATGGACCTTGAGCACATTATAGTAAGTCATATAAACCAGTCACAGAAGACAAACACTGTGTGATTTCGCCTGCATGAGGTACCTAAAGCAGTCGAATTCACAGACACAGAGAGAGAAATGGGGGTTGCCCGGGGATGGGGAAGGAGGGGACAGAGTATGGTTGTCTAATGGGTACAGAGTTTCGGTTTGGGAAGATGAAAGAATTCTGGGCTCTGTTTCCAACAACGTGACTATATTTAACACTCATAAATGGTGAAGATGGTACATTTAATGTTATGTATTTTTTACCAAAATTTAACTGCTTAAATCTTTCAGGGAAAAAAAGGCCAAAGTCTAAACATTATATAAAGGTAAAGGCACAATGACTTACAGCAAAAGGAATACACATTACTAATAGTTGGTGCTCTTGAATAAAGGAGGAAATATAGAAAAATGAAAGGTAAAGTGTGCTTAGTGATAAAGAACGGGGAAATTAACATGAACGAAAGCAAAAAAAAAAAAAGGAGTAAAAACAGACCACAAAAAGGTTTTATTGTTAGCTTTTGAAAGGCTTAAATATTGTGTGCCAGATGGCCGTTCTCACAAGCTGTATAAGTTGACACCCCCAAAGTAGATGTTACCAGCTCCTCTGTGCTTTCATGGCTCCCAGCTATCTCCCCATGACACTGTCACCCCCATTAGAGCCAGGGTTGCCTGTTTCCCTTAACATGGTGCCTACAGACCACCTGCACCATAAAAGACAACTCAGCAAGTCTTTTGTTGACTGAATGACTGACCAGTTGATTGACTGAACACACGTACACAGGAAAAGACACACATACCACACTGATGCACCCTGCTTGAAAGTGTAAATTGGTGTCGCATTCTAGAAGCACAACTTGGCGAAATCTCTCGACACTTCTAAAGCAAATGCCCTTTAACTCAGAAATTCTCCTCCCAGAAATGTATCCTGCGGAGATACTCCCACAGATGGGCAACAACGTAAGCATGGATGCATCACTTGCCAACAAGAAATTCTGAAACCCATATAAATGCTTAAATAAATTATAGCATATTCACATGATGGGACACTATGTAGTCATTAAGGTACATCCTATTCAAATCCCATTTTCAAATTTAAAAGGCAACTTGTTGAAGAATGTACTTAGGATAATTCCAACTGTGATTTTTTAAACAGCTTATACTGAAAGAGAAAATCTATAAGAAAAGCTGTCTCAGGGGTGGACTGTGTTTAGGAGAGGAAAGCAACTTCTGCTTTTCAGGATATGCCCATCCATGCTCTGAATTTTTTTTTTACCATAAGCAGGTATTAATTTTATAATACAAAGATTAGTATGAAATAGTTCTCTAGCCTAGAACATTAAAGCATAGAAAATATATCCACTGGAAGTTGGGATGCTGCCCATCTGTATAAGCCACACTTACTCAAATAGTTCTCTGTAACCAAGGAGCCACTTCAGCATCGTCTGAATGCCAAGTCAATGTACAAGGAAGACTGCTCCTTTTGATACTGGCCATCAGCCCTACAAGGTTATGTTTATGAAGGGTTTTAAGTCTTCATTTTATTGTAAGTAATGTCTTCTTTTGGGGAAAGGGAGTTGGAATGGCAGTAGGGGTAGATAAACTTGTGGAGTTTTGCAGTACCTGAATTTGTCAGGAGAGTCTCAGCTATGCTGCAAGAACAAATAAGCCCTCCATAAAGGTTGGCTTCTCACAACGCAGACTGGGCAGCCCGCTTACTTACTTCTGTGGCTTCCAAGGTCATTGTGGCAGGAGAAGAGAGACAGCTGGAGAATCTGGAGGGATGCTCTTAATGTTGGGCTTGGAGGTGGCTCACACAACTTGTGCCCACATCCCGTGAGCCGGACCCAGTCACAACCTCACCTAAGGGAGATGGGGAAAGGCAGACAAGAGGAACGGTGGTCAGTCACTACCAGTCACAGCTCCCGTACCCTAACGTGTCTTATGACCCTAGTACCTGCTAATGTCCCTGTGAAGTTGTTATCCCCTTTTAGGCGACAGGGAGATGGATCCTTTGTTTGGCATCACCAAGAAGCCAGAGGGCAGGGCGTCCGTGTTGATCAAGCACGTATCACGTGCCGAGTGCTGAGTGGCCTTACACACGTCTCACAGGTGCTTGCCATTCTTCCTCTTTTGAAGGTGAGGAAGCAGGCGCGGAGGTGAGTAATTCCTTCAGACCGATGGCTGCCGAGGAAAGAGCTCTCGTGGGAGCCCAGGTCTTCAGACCCCGGACCTGAGCGCTACCTGCCACGCCAAGTGGCAGCCCCTCCCCTCCCCCAATTACTCTGTTACTGCCGTCTCAGCCCCGCCCCCCGCTGAGCCGTGGTCGGAGCAAAGGAGCCTCAGCTCTACCAGCGGGAAGCGGCCAGGCTCCGTCTTACTCTCCCGGGGGTGCCTCTGCCCGCCCCCTCAGCCGGGACTAAGCGAGCGCTCACCCAGCTTTCCTGATTCAAACGCAAGCTCCCTGCTGAGACCTGGGCCCATCTCTGAATCCCACTGGCCTCAGGGCCTGAAAGTCTGTAAAGACCTGTCAGTCCACTCTTTCTCTCCAGACCCCCCGCCACGACTGTCAGGCTGAAGGCCAGGGCCCTGGGCCCCCTGGCCCAGCACTCCCCCAACCTCTAGCTCTTGGTATCAAAATCTTACCTCCCTCAGACTCAGCCAAGCAGGAAACAGGTTTGTGATCCCTTGTGGGTGTGGGTCTATGTCTCATAGCCACCTAAGCCAGGGTTCCAGGGAACCAGCCCCAACCACACGTGGGAGCAGTCCGACGCCTCCCATCTCCACCTCCTGCCTTGAAGAGACGTCCCCCCTGCCTCCTGATTCCGGCATCAGTCCACGGCGGGGAGCGCAGGCTGACTTTGAATGTAGTCAGGAGGTCTGAGGTCTTGACATCCCTCCCCCATTCCCTGAGCCCTGCCTACTGTGTCTCCCCACTAGCGAGAGCCCTGCACCTCCAAACTGTCTTTATGGAACTCGACTTACAGAAATATTGCCTATAATATAATCCATGTTCCAATGTAGAGATTTATAAATTGCTAGGGAAACAAAATGCCATTTAAAAAGTTTTTACTTATTTATGTTTTTGGGGGGTGAGGCAATTAGGTTTATTTATTTAATTATTTTTTAATGGAGGTACTGGGGATTGAACCCAGGACCTCGTGCATGCAAAGCACAAACTCTACCGCTTGAACTATACCCTCCCCTTCCAAATGCCATTTTTAAGGAAACAGAGCTGAGTGGAAAAGAGTTTAGGCCAATTCCAGTGTGATTGTGGGGAGGTGGTTTCAAGGTTGCGGAGGACCCTACTCTTTCATCTGCGTAGCAGCCCCTTCCTCTGCTGGGACCAAACTTCCTCCACTTTGCCCATCTGTGTGGTCCACTGGGAGCGTCCAGCTTCATACACCACGATCCTGGGAAGCTAACCCAAGCCAGGCTAAAGAGATCTCTGTGTGGGGAGAAGATGCTGGGGACCCATTAGTGTACTGAACTCCTGGTATTAACAAGGACAATTTTAATCTGCAATTTACCAAGATTACATATAATGTATATGTAATTTGGAAGTGAGAATTCCCATGTCAGCCTGACACTTGTCTTGAATGAAGTCAAGGTCTACATGGGAGTGTTGGGGGCGCCATTTTGAAGTGTTTTGAGCAGGACGATGGCTCCTCTGCAGCAGAGGAAAGACTGACAAAGAAACCAAGGAGCAGAGAAACCAGAGTTCTTGGGTGTGGTCTCCCGTGCGCGCTGGGGCCTGGTCCGTTTCACTCTGACACTCAGGACCTCCAGGTTGTGGGTTCGCAGAGGCTCCTCATGCCTTTAAAATGAATTTTTCTTCTTGTGTAAGCAGCGCACGTGACCTGCTAGGCTTTGCAACCAAAATTCCTGAGATATACAAGCTGTCATTGAGAAAGACCAGCATTGATCAGTTAGGCATCCGGATTTTCCGTCAATACTCCCAAGTAGTTTCAGAGATTTCACGTAAATTGTGAACAAATTAATTTGGCCGCCAGGCAGCAACTATTTATCTTCCTTGAAATTATTTACTGTCTGACCAAGCTTTCCCAGAATTGGCAAATTAGTCGATTAAATCAATTTTGTTAACTGTACACACGGCAAAATCTATCGGCAGCACCAGGTGAATTGCTGTTTTCAAGGTAATTGTCTTTGACGTTTTGGCATTCTGAATTTCGAGCAGAATCTGCCAGTCTTTCTCAGCCCTAAGTAGCCAGGTCTCCAGTTTCCTGAATTTCAAACTTGGGTGGTTGATTTTTGAACCACAGTGGGAACATGTATACCTGATCACTTGCCCGAAATTTAGCAGGAAGGAGGAAATTGGCTGAAAAGAAATTCAGTGAATTCTGCCTTGGCTTCTCCCCAGGGACATGCGTTTCCGGAAGGTGTTTGTGTGGGCATGTGCAGGTCTACTCCGCACACATTCACCTCGCCCCTGCTGTCTGCCAGGCCCTGGGCCAGCTGCCAGGTACTCACAGATAGATGGGACAGTATCTCCAGGAGGGCCATCAGGGCCATCAGGAAGACAGATCATGCTACCACGTGACACGTCTAAAAAGAGCACGGTCGTTGGGCACAGAGAAGGGAGTAAGGCAGCCTGCCAGACCGACCTGGGCAAACCACGGAGAAGAGTGGGCGTGGGGGAGCGGGGCCCTGATGGTGGAATAGGAGGTCTGCCAAGCAGACAGGAGTGGGAAGAACATTCCAGGAAGGAGAGAAGGATGAATAAAGGCATGATGCTGAGAAGGCACTCAGGGGACTCGAAAAACTGCTGGTAGACTGGGTTCCTGAATGAGCCAGACCCCAGGGCCTACCAAGGACAGAAAGTAAATTGCTTGCTTTCTTTCCTTTTGTTTTTCTTTCTTTCTTTCTTTTTTCTTTCATCTTTTTTGTTTGTTTAATAACAGCTTCATTGATGTATAACACACACACCAAAAAATTCACCTATTCAAGTGTACAATTCAGTGGTTTTTCATACATTCACAATGTTTATAGATTTGACTATTTAGGACATTTCATATAAATAAAGTCATACAATATGCGGTCTCTTGTGACTAGCCTGTTTCACTTAGTATCACGTTTTCCAAGTTCACCCATGTTGTAGCATGAAGCAGTGCTTCATTCCTTTTTGTTGTCAAATCATATTCCGTCGTATGGATAGACCACATTGTGTTTATCCACTCATCCACTGACGGACATTTAGGCTATTTTCACTTTGGGGCTATTACGGATAATACAGCCGTGAACATTCACGTGCAAGTTTTTGTGTGGACATAATGCTTTTATTTCTCTTGGGTGCATGCCTGCAAGTGGGCTCGCTGGGCATGCGGTGACTCTTTGGTTAACCTTTTCAGGAGCTGCCTGACTACTTTCCAAAGTGGATGCGTTATTTCACCCTCCCACCAACCACAGAACAGATGGATAAAGGTGGTGGCGGGTGAGGGAGGAGGAGAGGACATCCTTCCCCTCCCCCCAGAAGGAGACATTGACATGTGAGCCTGGGTCTAAGCGTGCAAAGTATCTGGGGTTTGGGGGGAGTGAGTGAAATTGCAGTCGAGCAGAATCCACATGGGGAGGAGCAGGATGGCTAGTGGTGAGAAAGGGCTCCTCAGAGTCCCTGCTGCCTCACCGTCCTCGGCTGTGTTTGACTGAATGTGATGGTCAGAGACCTCCTAGGTGGTGCCTCAGGCCTCCCCACTCCCCGGCGGCCTCCTGGTGTGAATGACTTTTCTCATTCACAGTCAGCTCATGGACAAATGGAGAGAGCCCTGTCTAACCAACGCCATCGACCCTCCCACCCAGGCGTGCCGAGCAAGGGGACTGGGATCAGGCCGGTTCCGCAGAGCTGGTGGGGAGCAGAGCCCCTCCGTATCCGCTCCCGGGCCAGGGCAGGCTTCCTGCCGGGCTCTGTGTCCCTTTCGCCCCCTCACCTCCTCTTGGGCAGCCCTAGAGCTGGCTGGGTGTTCCTGACTTCACTGACTGCTGGTTCTCAGGGCAACAGTCTAAAAGGTGTATGCCTTTTCAGTAAATATGTATACAAAAGTCCACATATATCATATATGTTGTAAACTGAATGTCTGTGTCCCCCTCCCAAATGCATATATTGAAGCTCTAAACCCCCAATGGGATGGTGTTAGGAGAAGAGGCCTTTGGGAGAGGGCTTCTAGTGTGAGATGAGCTCAAAGCTGGGGCCCCGATGTGATTATAGACACCAGGGTTCTCGACCTCTCCCCAGTTACGCACAAGGAAGAGGTCATGGGAGCACACCGTGAGAGGGTGGCCTCCTGCAAACCACAGGAAGAGACTCGGCATGAAACTTACCTTGCAGGACCTTGACCTTGGACTTCGAGCTTTCAGAACTGTGAGAAAAGCATGTCTGTTGTTTAAAGCCACCCCGTCTACGGAATTCCATAATGGTAGCCCGAGCTAAGACAATGCATACACAAAAATATTTGCTTCTTGGCATTCCTCATTGTGTGTGTGTGCAAGTTGTCTTTTCATTTTGCTGATGGTGTTCTTTTTTTTTTTTTAATTGAAGCACAGTCAGTTACAACATGTCAAAGTCTGGTGCACAGCACAATGTCCCGGTCATACATGCACACACATATATTCATTTTCTTAGTCTTTTCCATTATAGGCCATTACAAGATATTGAGTATAGTTCCCTTGGCATTACTCTTAAAGTATTTCATTGTAGTTGTGCCAAAAAATGTGAAATTATAAAAATATAGAAATGATAAAATTTCTCTTTGTGGTTTATCAGCTTCTAAGGCAACAGTTAATTTTTTTAAGTTGTCTTCAAAGAAATCTGTGTCCCGTATGGGAGACACTGCCGAGACTGCTGCACTCAGCGAGCTCGTTTCACATGGTCACGCCAGCTCCTTTCTTCTGGAGTCTTCCAGAGCATCCTCGCGAACACACGGGCCTTCTGACGTGTTTTCAGCTCTGACTCTGTGTGGAGCACGGTGCTCTAACTTATGTACATGTAACAACATGTCAACATTCAATATTTTTCATTTTGTTATTTTTCAACTTCAAACTGACCTCCAAAGCACTACATTGATTTTCTCGTTGGAGACATGCATGTTTTCAAAGACCATCATGTTTTGAGTGTCTTAAAGACACATTTCCATGGTGAGTCTGCTGCCCACCGGGTCTGAGAAGTGCAAAGCTGGACGTCGGCTCAGCCTGCCTCTTTTAGAGAAGATTTTGAACACCACGTGGAAAATACGGTGGTGAAGCTGAGCGTCCTCTTTGAAGCTATTGATACAAAATATCTTCACGCAGCCGCTGCAGGTTATTTGAGGGTGAATGATAGATACTCTTTGCCTACGTCGAACATGCCGTAGTCTTTGGCTCCGTTTTGATAGCAAGCCGCTTAATCAGGCCTCACGTAGTTTACACGGGACTTTTTCAAGGCACAGTTGCTTTTAGGAGGCGCACTTGTGGGAGACGCTATCCCCAAGAGAAACAGAAAAGTCTTCTCCTAACTGCTTGCACGGTAGGAAATTTTCATAAATGTCCTCAATAGCTACACTATCGGAAACCTGAGAAGTTATATAGTTACCCATCCTGATGGCTTGAGAATTTTCAGGTGCTGAGGGACTGGTCAGACCTGCACTGGCGCCCACGTGCTGTGCCAAGACAGTTTCACCGAGGCCCGCTGACCTGAGCATCCAGCCACCAGTACCTTCAGAATCTGTGTCTTGTTCCCAGTAATCTGCCCTCTCAACCAGAGGAGGATGCCACAGAGTCAGTGTCAGCGACGAGAAGGACCTCTGGCATCACACGTCCAAGCCTTTTACAGATGGGCATGGAGGACGGCAGAGATGCGAACTGACCTGCCAAGGACAGTCAGCGAGTTAGCGGCTGAGCTGGGGGCGGGGTGCCTCCTGGTCTCCTGACTTCCAGGCTGCTGCCCTTCCCCCACCCCCAGTGGCCTCCTGGCAACTTGCACCATCCGCTGCATCACAGGGCCCCGGAAAGGGGCGGCAGTCAGGCACAACCAGGCTGCCCTCAGCATCCTGGGGCTCCTGCCTCTGGCGCTTTTGATGGAGCCGGCCCAGCTGGGGCATCCGCTGCACGAAGCCCCACTTAGCCAATAGCTGTATTAGTCACTTAATTAAATGGGAAGACACAGCCGCCACCCTTGCCCTTCAATTATTTCTATGCATCCTGTTCCCGGGGT